AATAAAAAATTAGATTACTTACGATATTGTCAGCGACGTTGGCGTGCCCTTGGAGAGGTTTTATCGTTGCTGTCGCTTACGCTAAAAAATATATAAATATTTAATGTAGTGCTGCCTCATAGTCAGCCATTATTGAAGAGGGTTGGAAAAATAGACGTATATGCCTCCTCAGTTTTACTTTCCATTATGTCATACAGCAATGGGATAACCTAAAATTGTTAATAGTAGCTATAAAATTTGGAGCCAATATTTTTCCATTAAGGACCAAAACCATAATTTCAGTCATTGCAATATTCAATATTTCTAAAAAAAAAATGTTGAAATGTTATTGTCAGTTGGGTTTAACTATTTTGTTTTGTGAAATTCGGTATGTGAAATAAGCCCATTTAGGTAATAAAAAGCTTTATTGGACATATTTTATATAATACTTAAGGTATGCCAGTGGTATTTTTTTTTTCTTTATGACTTACAGTTACAACAAAAAAGCTCTCAATTTTTCCTTTTTTTTACGAATAAAAAGTCGTATTCATACAAACATTATTGATTACATACACAGTAATAAAGTTATTAAGGACCATAGGTATGTTACTACAACTTTTCGCCTTAAAATAATGCTAGAAATAAACTTGCAAAGTTTATTGAAATAGTTCTGAATAGTTCTTAATAATAGTTCCGTATATATTTATATTTGTATATTATAATTACTTACAGTTTCATATTTGTATAGGTAGAAAATTAATAACTGGGAAGCTCCACCTCTTCTAGGGACTACTTTAAAAGTTGCATCAATGTGAACGTGCATACTCTCAGCCTTTTCCTAAGCTGCGATGGTATATTGGCGTACTGTAGGAGAAACGAAAATGGCAGATTTTGTCTCATCTGCAGCTACAATAATTTAGAGGTAGAAAAGGTTTCCAACACTAGCATTTCGGTACCTATCAGCCCATCTACAATCATTTCAAAAAACTAATTTCATGTGAATCTTGAAAATAGGATGCGCACTGGCAAAGTAGTGGATTTGGGAATAAATTTATGCAAGCGCTCTCTCTTTTTTTAAAACATATTTTATTAGTACTGGCTTTTTAAGTTAAAAGTTCGGCCTTCATTCTGACTCGCGGGAACACAAGAAGTGGAGGAATAAAGTGCCCTGCAGCTGACATGCACAGCTCTACTGTTACTAACTGACCCCTTTCCGCCGAAGTTAGGGCGCCAACTTGTCTTCTGCCTTTTAAGGCAATAACCTTGGATTGTGTTTTCGGTACGGTGGTAAGCCCAACTTCATCAACATTGTAAATGTTACTTGCTTCAAACTTATATCGATCCATAAGACTTTCCAACAAATCGAAAAATTTTTCGACTGAAATTTCATTAAACCCCATGGCTCTTGCAGCAGAAGTTGCCTCTGGTTTCCTTAATGACAAATCTGGATGCCTTGAAAAAAAACCTTTTAGCCAGTCTAATCCGGCAAATTGTTTTTGGGTATTGAAGTTGTGTTGGAGTTTGTTTCTTGTGGCTAACTGATAACCAGTCTTCTTAATTCTGTAGTTGTCAAACCAAAAAGTCGCAGTTCCATATTCTTGACATAGGCTACCAACTCATCTTCTTGCTCTTTTATAAAAACACACTTAAAATGAGTTCTCATTCCTAAAAAAAGAGTTAGATTAGCCTCTTAAAGTCAATTTTATAAAAAAAATAGGTCACCTTTTTTTGAAGCATCATCGAGTGAATCACCAGATTTTTGCTTTTTTACTCTATCCACCAACGTAGATCGAGGCACACCGAAGGAATCGCTAGCTTTCTGGTACCCCATTGTTCCAGAGATAACTGCTTCGATAGCCTTCTGCATAGACTCGTTCGTCCAACCTTGTCGTTCCGTTTTTCTTTTATATGTTCTCACCATCTTTTCTAAAAAGAACGTAATAATGAAACAAGGGGCAATACCGAATACGTGGGGCAAAACCGGACGCTATCCGGTTTTGCCCCTTCCGATTTTGCCCCTGAGGTAGATCAGGCAAACAATGCAATATAACAAAAAAATAGAAGGCCGTAGAATCAAACCCAAGGCTTATTTCGGAAGCATAAAAATTAGTCTACAACGTACACCATGTAAAGAAATAAGAGATAATACACATAGTAAAGTATTGGCTCACCGAAAAGTAGGTAAAATTAGATCACGTACCTTCTTTTCGATTCCAAAACAATTGCACTATGAATATCCGCACGCATCACCTTCAAACACCGTTTACCATGTGCTGACAAGGTCAAGACTAAAGTGCGAAAGGAATAAGTGCCGACGCGTGGCGGTTTCACCAAGTAGAGGTGGAATGCGTTTCTGCCCCGCTATGCGGTTATGCCCCTCATGACCTACACTAACGTTGCTATCTTTCAGCATAGTATATTATTAAGCTGTTATAGTACTATCACTATCGAATTTATTATCGAAACTTATTTTTCTACATTCTTTTTCATATTGAGATATGCCTTCTTCAGGGAGTTTACTTTTCTGGGTATATTATTTGAAGCAACAGAATTAAACTCATTTTTTCAAATATTTTCATTATTTGAACAAGAATCGGTTTTTTTATTTTCAATGACATGTTTATACTTATTAACTAATTGCATAAGTACACTTTTTTCTTCTAACGAGTCGGCACAAATTGTACATTAAAATCGCTTACCTACTGACAAATTCCACAAAATTGAGGTTAAGTTCTAATGATTTGTTTGCAGACTAGAGATATGATTAATATAGACTCCTTCACTCAACGGTTCAACAGAATATCAAATTAATGTTCGTTTGCTGTGAGTGTAAGTATAAATATGTTACCAGCTAAACTGTTTTCGAGAAACAGGCTATTAGAGTTGGTATTTTTTCAAAGATTATTTAAATATTTGATCGTGTAAAATTTTAAGTTATTTTAACTCGAAAACGGCTTATCCTGCAAACAAATTTCAAGAGGGCCATTTTGTGCAGAAAATACCATAAGAATAAAAATCAATATAAATTAATGACTTGAGACCAGTGGCATAGGAGTTCTGGCAGGGAAAATGGGTCACAACTCTCCTATATAGACACAACTAGTGGCGTACAAAAACTTCTTATAATGTGATAAATTAGTAGTACTTCAAATTTTGTACAACCAGATATTTTTTAAATAAAATTAGCGATATTTTAAATAGAGGTATCTAAAGAAGCCCCTAAAACGTAAGAACCTGTATCTCGAAGACGGCGCAGTTTATGAAAAACGTTTTTGTAGCAAACACATTAATTTTCGATGTTTTATCGAACCTTTAATTTTGTAGTTAATTATTACACGCTGTTCTTTGTATAATTATTTACAAATAAGCAAATAACAACGGAAAGATGTATAATAGCATTTACTCATAAACTAGAATATACATTTTTCTTGTAACAACAAAGTATCTATAATCTAAAAATCACATCCGTCATTTCCATAATGCAGATATTAAACATTTGAGATCAAATTTCTCCAAAACTTTCGGATAACTACATCAAGTATTTATATTACCTATGTGTGTTGGGTTCATAAGAAATAGGTTTAATTTTTTTGTAAAATATATGTTAAAGATATTTAAAGTGTATTTTAAAAAGTAGTTCTTCATATGTATCATACATATCATACATAGGTATTTTGAATTTTAAGTAATTTCAACAGTATAGACTGAGAATTTTTCATCAAAGCAAAAAAATTTGCTACGTCAGTAAAAAACTCTAATGGAGTAGGCGCCAGAATAATAACTTGCCATGGCAATAAAGTTCACTATGCTATAATCTAATTTCAGTTCCAGTAACATTATTTTATAAATACCTACTTTTCAGGCAGTGCTTAGAACATTCAGTAGACTGAAGAATGGACTTTGCTATGGTCAAAAGTGCTATCATTATGATACTTTTTTGCTGTAATTATAAAATCTGTCTGCTGCCATCACAAACTATCTTGCAAGCAGTGCAAATTACATTGGTGTCTTTAAAGAAAACAATATCCTCTTACTTAAAATAATGTATCTATCTGGTAGGTGGAACTACACTCATTTTTTTTGCACGTTTAAGTTTATTCATGAGACATGATAAATGATTTCGAATAAAATAATTGCATTAAAAGACCAAAAAACCATATTGAATATGACTAAATTGGAAATAAAAGGAACTAACAACTTATAAACAAAACCTTGGAGATTTTGTTTAAAATCAAAATGTTTAATAAACTGTTTTAATAGAATAAACGTCTAGAAACAATTATTTTTGTTTTTTTAATGTATCTACATTAAATTTTGTAAACAAAATAAAAAACGATTTTCATTTTCCATGTTTCATATTTTATAAAGCAAAATAGAAAATATTTTTCATTTTTCAATATTCCAAATTTTACTAAACAATTTATGAAATTATCTAACAGTAGACGCCTTTAATATCAATACTAAGGAAAATTTGGACCCTACCATTTTCAATAGTTTATAGGAATTATAGGCAAAACAAAATAAAAAATAAAATCTGTCTAAAATCTAGAAATATATTAAACTCGTCAAAACCATTTTGGTTTACTACATAAAAAATAACAAAAAATAAAAAATTTATTTATTGTAATATCTACAACTCATACTGACAGATAGTTAATACCATTTTGATTAACCATGACATATGTATCGAAAATTTGAATATCATAAAAAATACACTTTTCTGATTTTGTGACTTCTACAATGAAAGAAAATAAATGTTCATTAAAATTAACACAAGTAATGTGTTTGTATATGAATAATATGTCACTCGCTGCATTAACAAAGACGGTTTTTAAAATATAAGCCTCGGACCCACTTTTGGGATCAGACCTTGGATTGTTTGATCATCTAAGGGCCGGTTTATCAATGCTCTGTTAAATTTGCCTGTTAAGTGGCCGTGAGTTAAGCTTAGCTGTTGGTCAAATTAGAATATCCGTTTATCTGTCTAGTTGAAAAGTCTTGTCAGCCAACTGTTAGTCAAGGCAATGTTGGCACCATTGTTTGGATGGATTTGTTATGTTTAATAATCCTAACCTCATTTTTTAAATAATTAAATAGAAAGACAGTGACAGTAGGTAGGTACCTACATAGTATTTATAATGGAAAATAAGGCTAAAAGAATTGCTAATTTTGGTGATGCTGACAGGGCATTACTAATTAAATTAGCTAATTTATACAAAAATGTAATTGAGTGCAAAAAGACGGACGCAATTACTTGGCGGGAGAAGGAACATGCATGGCGTAAAATTGAAATTAAATATAATTCGTCTACTACAGGACCTGTAAGTAAAATGTTACAATTTAATTATAAAATATATGAACAATTTGAATTTATAGGCCAGAACTGCAAAACAGCTTAAAACAAAGTATGAGGCAATAAAGAAAACACTGAAAAAAGAGTATAGCAAGCATCGTTGTTATGTACAAGGGACAGGTGGTGGTTCATATATTGGTCCACCTAATCCAAAAACAGAGGATGAAAAAATATTAGCTAATACGATAGCTATAAGTATTCAAGGGTTACAGAATACCACCGATTCGGACGGTTTAGCTGGTAAGTAGGTACATTTTTATAAAAAGCTAAATATGAAAGAAACTATATAATATTTATATTCTTTATTTCTTTTCAGGGTTATCTGGTATAACGTATGATAGTCATTTCAATAATAGCGTAGAAATTGAAACTATAAACGATTGGACACCACCTACTGCAAATCTCTTACGTACTCCTGTTAATCCAAAACTTCGACCAAATCAGGACAAACATAAAGTTAACAACACTTCAGAATGCGATTCACAAAATGATATTTCGTTTATATCGCTGGATACAGATGAATATTCTGAGAATAGAGCCATATTGAAGGAAGTACCACAAAATAGTGTCATTTCCTTCGATACGGCTGAATTTAACAAGGAAAATACTGCTATGAATGATAATACTTACCAAATATCAGAGAATACTAATATGGAAAATAATGAGCCAACAAAAAAAACTCGTAAGTAATTATTTATCTCTACAGAAGGTAGTTTAAAATTTAAGGACATTTGTTTGCAATTAGCAAAGTATTTTTATAAAGAAGTCATTTATATTTATAATAGCTGTGAGTACCAAGCATGCCTTGCTCATATAGATAAAATAATTTGGGCAAGTTGTGCTTGGCTGCTTATACTTACTACTCGATAATACTTAATAGCTAATTATCTGCTGTAAATGGGATGTGGCTTGAAAATAATAATTTTTTTTTTAGAATTATGGTCAAGTAGAAGGAGACCTACTTTATCAACAAAGAAAAAATGTAATTCAAGTGCGGCAGCAAAATTTGAAGTTCTTGCTGAAGATAAATCCAAGTTAGTAGCTCTCAAAATGAAAATAGCTGAAGAGGAATTGCTTTATATTAAAAAAGAACATGAAGCAAAAATAAAAATTTTAGATTTACAGGTACAGCAGGAGGAACTTAAACTTGTTTTCATGAAACAAGCAGGTGCAGCGTTAAACTAAAACGTTTTTCTTTATTGTTCGTTATAGGGAAGAATGTAATTTTTTGTTTAATAAGTTTAATTTAGTTTTGTTCTGTGATTTGAATATGTATTAATATTTCTTATTGTTTCAGAATTTGTTTCTTTAATTTGTTTTCTGTTTAACAGTTTTGTTATATAAATATTTTTTATATTATAAAATAAACGTTACAAATTATGTGTGGTAATGAATTTCTACGCACAATATACAGGTTTGGTAAAAAAAAATATTGGCAAGATATTTTATGGTAAATGAGTAAATTTGCAATAAAAATATAACAAAAGATAAACCCCTATAATAGGTAAAAGGAATAAATGTTCAATACTAATATCAGATACTCGATAACTTGGGTAGAGGCTGAATAAAAGGAAAAATTAATTACAAACATGCTTTTATTTTTGGAATTATAAAAATAAATGGTGCGCTAAAAACATGAAATTTTCGATTTATATTAAATAAGTTACATCACATTGATTAAAATTCCAATAATAATCTATGATGTACTCAATACCTATTTACAGTTAATTTAAAAGACGGGGAAAGTATTCTGCAAGCAAGTGATCTCGTGCATTAACATAAGGATTATCTTCACCCACTGGTTCAATTTCTATATTTTCATTGAAAACTTGCTAATTATGAATTTATTCCTTTCGTGCAATCAAATTAATAAAAGTAATGAATAAACGTATGAATGACAACTATGTGGACAACACTGACATTAGTGACATTTGAGTTAGAACTTGTAGTTTCTACGCCACGCGTGCGCACACTTTTTGACCAACGGCTATGTATGCAANTAGATGCAGAAGTTTTAACAATCAATATAACGGAAGGTGATTGGGTTTTAGCTGCACAAGAAAAAGATGAAAGAATAAATTATTTAAAGGATATACTTACTCGTGCGCCTATAGACGGAGAAGAAAAGAAAATACATGATGAATATAAATTGAAAGACAATAAATTATACAAGAAAACAGTCTGGGGAAACTGTTGGGTAGTTCCAAAATTCGCGCGACGTCAAGTAGTTACCTATTTTCACGATGCTATTGGACATTTTGCTGTCGAGAAAACTTTAGAAGCTATAAAAGCTAATTATTGGTTCCCAAAAATGCAAAAATATACAAAAACTTACATAAAAGGATGTTTACCGTGTCAGTATAATAAAGAAAACTATAACAAACAGCCCGGTTATTTACATCCTATTAAAAAAGTATTAGAACCTATGGATACTCTTCATATAGACCATTTGGGCCCCTTTGTACCGACTAAATCTAAAAACACTTATTTGATAGTAGCTGTAGACAGTTTCACAAAATTTGTTTTTATTAAAGCTGTACAGAGCACAAAAGTTAAGCCATTAATAAAATTCGTTGATGATATTATAGATACTTTTGGCGTACCTCGACGAATTATTTGCGACAGGGGTACTTGTTATACAAGTAACTTATTCATCAAACGTTGTACAGAGCTAGGCATAAAAATTGTCCATGTAGCCGCAGCAACACCGCGTGCAAACGGACAAGTCGAAAGATACAACAGAATTGGTCTATCTAGTCTTAGAACAATGGTAAGTGACGAAACTAAATGGGATGAGGTAGTACATAAAATCCGATGGGGATTAAATTGTACCATTAATAAAAGTACGGGGAAAAGTCCATTTGAATTATTTTTTGGTTTTAAACCTCGAGGCATTTGTGATTCTTATTTGCGAGTGAACACCGAATTTGGGAATGATGTAGACGAAACTCAGGCAAATATAAATAATCAACAGAATCGTACAGAAGTAGGCAGATTAATTGAGAAACAGCAGGCAGAACAAAAGCAGCGTTATGATAAAAAAAGAGTAACGCCATACCAATATAAAGTAGGTGACAAAGTGTTAATAAAAAAACAAATAGGTAGTAATGAAGGTAAAAGCAGAAAATTATTACCTAAATATAGCGGTCCGTGTATAATAAAGAAGGTTCTAGGTAAAGATCGTTATGTTGTGACTGATATGCCAGGCGCTGAGCGCTCCCAAAAACTCTACGAAAGCATTTGTGCAGTCGTCTAACTAAAGTTGTTTATTATAAATGACGACAGTGATGTAAATACAGAACTGGCTAGTAGCGATTCAGAATAAGATCAAATAATAACAATCGAACTAATTAGATTAAAAAAACATACTTGTATAGAGTGTAACTTATATTTTGAAGTGATATCTAAGTAATATTATGTACTATATGTGTTTAGTTATGTACAATAGTATGAAATTGTATGACTTGTGAGTTGTATGTATTCAGTAGGCGCCTACGTGTATGGAGTAAGTGTGACAGGGATGTGTAGGTATATAATCGTTGTGAAAATGCGACATCCTTAGATGCGGGATGAGGTGAGTTATCAAATTTTCAAGTTACATATGTCATGATCCCTAGATGCGGGGCAAAAAGATTAAAGTACCTACCTACATCCCTAGATGCGGGATAAAAATTACAGTACACACATTCCTAGATGTGGAATTGATATGCTGGATAAGTAACAGCAAGATTATCTATTAGTTATTACATACCACCACTAAGTTGTACTAATCTCTTGTTTATGTATGTATATAGGTCTCGCCTTTCCAGGATTCCGCGGGGACGCGGAAAACGGTAGCGCGGCCGACTATAATCAGCACTCAGCAATGACGGAAGCCGGAAAGCAAACAATCCGGGGCCTCTTAGGGAGTCTGAAGAGTTGCTGACTGGAATTGTGTGTCATAAAATAAAGGACAGATTAGGATAAGAAGGCAGATGTCATGTAGTGACATTAATAGAATAAATGTTAGAAAAGTTCCGTGTAAACGATTTGTTCTCTTACATATAGATTCTAAAATTTGAATTCAGTTAAATAAGACACCAACATTTAAAATTACCTTGATGTTACCTTCTTGATTATATGATTGTGATTAGTATCAAAATTAATATTTTACCAACGAAGGAAACAAAAAAATGAAAACTATCTTGAGGAAACAGTTCCTCAATATAGTGATTCTGAATTAATGGAACATTTCAAAGTTAGTCAAAACGTAGCTATCGATATAGCAGAAAGATTTAAGCAGTCTGAATATTTTTTTACCAAAGTGGCCAGTTTGGTAAACTATCTGCCTATGATTATATAGTCATATTTTTATGGTTTTGTGGACATGAGGCAGCGTCATACCGAGATGTTGCTGATAGATTTTATATATCCCTTAGCACACTTCGAAAGATTGTTAAAACGATAACGTATTTCTTGAGTAACTTATCAGCTGAAGTAATTACGTGGCCTACACCTCAAGAGCAACATCATATAAAAGAAGAGTTTTTGTCAATGAATGGTTTTCCAAATGTTGTTGGTGTTATTGACGGAAGTCATGTTAGAATAGATAAGCCATCTAAAGATCCCGATTCTTATTTAAATAGGAAAAACTATCACTCAATGCAGGTAAATCAGATGGCAAGTGTGGGTGTTCTTAGATAATACATTTTGGAACAGGTGGATTAGTCAAAATGTGATTTTTTTTCTATGACAGCTTTGAACATATTATTTAAGATGGAATTGCATTTTCTTTGACAACAGAAATATTACTTCCGATCTCTCTTACTTTTGAGTTATTTAATTAAGTTGTTTCTCTTGAGTAGTTCTACACAGTTAAAAAAGTATCAACTAAAAAATCGCCCTGTATATTTTAATTATGTATGTTTATAAATATATTATTTTCAATTCTTAATGTGTTTTAAATATATCCAATATAAATGTGCCCATAACTCAGAAAAAGAACGGTGGAGTCAAGTGATGGTATTTGTTTCTCAGCAATGTATTTGATTTTTATCTGAATAATTAATAAAACTACTGTTTGTTCTATTTAATGTAAATTAAAAAATAACTCAAAAGATTTATCTTTTATTGTAATGAAAATACATAAGACACATAATGGTGACTACATCCATATTAAACTAAAGCTATAAAATACAAAAATAAATTTACTATTTATATAACGAAACAAAAGATTTGATACTTCCAACACGGTAAAGATTTGAATGCAGTCGATATTTTTGATAATTGACGATATAAAACCTTTGGCAGTACAACAAACCTCAATAACAAATAACCTAAAGTAAACTTAGATTCAATAGGAATAAGTAATATCACAAATAGTTAATGAAAACAAATAATTTAATATTCTGAGCTTTTCTTCAAACTTTGTCCTATTAAATGTAAACGTTCGTTTATTTCTTTTCGTAACTGATTGCTCTCATGTAGGATGGTAATTCTTTTTTCTTTATATTTCTGTTTCTTCACAGCCAAAGTTTAGTTTTTCTTTGTGTCTCTCATATTTTTCTTTTCTCATTTTATCTAATACATCACTATTTTTGTTTTTAATATTCCTCTTGGTCGGTCACATTTTTTATCCTGTCGAAAGTCCGGAATTTTTTTATTGTTCAGGTTCGCTAACAGTAGTTGTACTTAACAAAACTGATATGTCAGCCATTTCCTTGGCGAATTCAAACAGTTTTCTACCAGCTCCAGTTTGCTTATTATTGTCGACAAACCTTTTGTAATTTCGCTCCAATACTCTCCACCTGTTTTCACAGTTAGAAGACGAAACACAAGTACCATATAAATTATTAAAATCGCTTGCAATATTGTCCCACATTTTTTTGAAATTTCTTATTTCAATAGTACCGACACGACTTCGGTATTTTTTATACAAATTTAACAATTTTAATGTGCTGGCCCTATTCCAAATAAATGTTTTTCCTGCTTTTGAAGACACAGTCTCCTCTACGATTCCACCATCGATCACAAATACCTACTATAAAGTACAAATTACTAAGTTAATAAATTATGGATAAATAAAATGTATAATGTATCTAACCTTTCATATCATCTGTATTTTCCATGATTTTTATATAAGTTCTGCCCATATATTTAAATATTAAATGATTAATTATACGCTTTTGACACTTGACCACAGAACATACCTTCTTGTACAGTATACTTAACAGCAAAGAACAGCGCTAATACAAAAGTGCACCTAGTGCGCATGTCCGAAACCGAAAATTTGTTGGGAGTCAGCGGATTATTGTGATGGTTGGAAACCAGTCCACAACTCGTAAGTTTTGTTCTGCGAACATCAAATTTTTAGTCAGGCGTCATGGATTATCGCTGTGCGAACGCTTTTGACCTATCACGCATGTGCCATACAGTTGCTGATAGTTTCTGACTGCTGTGCGAACAAAGCTTTAATCATTTGGTCCGTAGTACAGGCCAAAGAAATCTAAAGAATATTAATACTTATGGTCTTTTTATTTCAGTTAACTAACCAATTAGCATAACTGAATTTCCACTTAAATGTTATTATATTATTTATGTACTATACCATTCCATTGCTATACTCATGTTTATACTCGAGATACTCGCTCGCTGATTGGTTGAATAAAATTTGAAAATTGCCAATGCGATGGAAATAAAATTACTTTTTCTAACCAAATTTCTGGTCACGTGGTTCGTAATCGTTTATGAATGCTCTGTAAATAAATATATCCGTGTTCCATTCTTAAAGAAAATAATAGAACTAATTGTAACATGTATTTAATCATTTTTGACGAAATCATATTTCGGTGTTTTCATTAATAAAGATACAGAACGTTGCCAGGTTGTGCAATTTTCGTTTCCCATTAGATCTTTAGCATGTAATATTGCATCACAAGTATCAACCTCTAGTCTATTTCTGACTTTAGTTTTAAGCAAATTTAATTGCGAGAAAATGCGTTCAGCACATGAAGAATGCGGCAAACACATTACCCATTTAATTACCTTTCCTAAATTAGAAAGCATTGGTACGTCCAAACTATTTTTATATTTCAAAATGTAGTCCCAAAATTCTTCAAAATCGAGATCACCTTTTTATTTTACTTCGGTGGAATCGGCCAAGTATCTCCATTCAGTGTTGAGATCTTCCAAATCTACATTCAGTTGTGGAAAAAAATTTATTATTTCGAATATGCTCAATACCTCACCAGAAACAGCTCGCCTTGGAGCAAAATTTGTGAAGAAAATCAAAAGAGGTTCATTAAAATTGAATCTTTTTAATTTGGCTACATAATTCAACATAGAATGCCAAGGCATTGACTTTGAACTTCTGGATTTCTTACAAATCTTAAACCTTATCAAGCATTAGTTGAACCTGTGTTCCAAAATAAATTTTGGATGGGCAAAAAATGTTCTGGATTGCTTGGTGACGCATTGTTCAATTCCGTGCTGTTTAAATAAGTCACAGTTTGTGACAAAACATGTACCTTCGGCTTTTCACTTTGGAACTCTAGATTAAGTTTATTTACTATCGCCAAAATGTAAGCCAAAAATAGGAAATAAACTAGAGTTAGATATAGTTAGATAACAGATTAATTATTCAATTCACGTGTCAAGCAATGACACTAATCACTTCAAATTAGATTTTTATAACATAACATCCAATACAGAACGTATATTTGAATACAAATGTATCTTCAACAAGCTACCACAAAACAACTTGGAAGACTTCCACTGGCAATCACAAACGAAACAACCATTAGTTAGCGGCCAAGTAATCCAGGCAGACCTCGCTCTCTCAAAAATTGTCNTATGAATTTATTCCTTTCGTGCAATCAAATTAATAAAAGTAATGAATAAACGTATGAATGACAACTATGTGGACAACACTGACATTAGTGACATTTGAGTTAGAACTTGTAGTTTCTACGCCACGCGTGCGCACACTTTTTGACCAACGGCTATGTATGCAAACAAGCAGTTGCAACATTCAGTTATATTAACAGACCCTTTAGCTGAATGTTACGGTATAACTAGAACTTGATAATCGATTTGACTAACAGTTAAAATTTGACTTGTAGTTAAGAACTTTAACTGAGCATTGATAAACCGGCCCTTAGAGTTCAAAACTTTCATCATCGATTCCCTCTGCTGTAATACCAAAACTCGTGTTAGATGCCACATATAAAACATCATGATTCATGAGTTAACTACTAACTAGAACTAGGGGTTTACGAAAACCTACTTAACCTATAAATTCTGTTTATTTAAAATCATATTACCAAAGGATGGAGACAGCAATCCGAGCAGATATATTCTTGTAAACCTCTAATACCATGTCCTATGTAATATTTAAAAAAATCCATTCGCATGCACATGCATTACCTCAAAACTATAATGATAGAAATATACAAAAAGTAAAAGTAAATATAGACATATTTACCTTCAAAATTTTCAATGAAATGAGTAAGACCCATTCAATTAATTTCAATTTGATATTGTACGTTGAAAAGCTCGAACAAGCCAACTCTCCGTCACTTATAGTACCCTGCGCCTGTGAGGTAGACGCCGACGCTATTGCTCTATTCTATGCGTCTATGCCAAAAAATATTATTAACTTTAATAATGTATATGCTCTATACCACAGTTGAGACTCAACTGTGACTATAATTATAATAATAATTCCTGCGCTGCCCTGACACTCTTACACAGTGTGATTTCCACTAACATACACAAAACATATGCACTTCTTCTTTGATCAAAATGGCGAACCAACAATCAACGAACACGGACGACGCGCTCTTCATAAAGACTCTTTTTTAGCATTAGCATTAGCAGCATTTAGTGACAGCTAAGGTTTCTTCAGTGACTGAAAAGTTTATCTGTAAACGTAGTGAAGCTATGTTT